TAGTTTATTCCTCTTCAGTACTTGTAAGAGTCATTAGACATCTTTCAACTCCCACTAATTACTTTGTTTTTGGCAGACATTAGTGTTTCCTCCTCCTGCTTTTTTGAATAAATCTGAAATTAACAAGTCAATAAACTGACATATTTACAGTAAAAATAACTCGGTTCCCCTGTCTTCTTCCTCCCACTTCTCATATCTCTTAGCAGATGAAAAGGTCATCATTCACCTACAGGCTTTACACACACTTGTGGGGACTTGGGCATTTTCCCTTTGCATCAACCTCATCTCGAGTTAAAGACCTGATATTACAGAAGCTGTTCCTGTCGTCTTAGGTTTTGATTAATTGCTTTAAATAGTTTAGAAACTGGAGCAAATGCTTCTTTTGAGAAAAAGATATCTGAGAGAGAAAACATGAGTTGCTTCAGTGAACTCCAATTGCTGTTGAAGTACACAGTCATTAAATGCTCCAGGAGCTGCTTTAATTTAAACATGGAGAAAAAAAAGCATTGGAAAAGGGCAGTTTTGGTGTACCAATTAAAAAATGATGTCTTAAATCTTTAGACCTTTCTTTCCAACTCCAGCTTATATAACTGAGATGTATGGGGAAAACTAGGGCAGCAAACATCACCTCAGACATGGAGGCAGTCCCCAAACCCTGGCACTTTGCTGCTCTGCCAGGGAAGGAGGCAATCTCCAGTGGCTGAGTGATGCTGAGGAGTTCCGACAGCCTGTCTTTGGCAAAGTACCCACGCTCTTAACACTACCTTGACATGCCAAGGGCAGTTAAAAAAATCACAGTGAAAAGTAGATGTCCAAGTCCTCCAGCTCACTCCAAACTTGCACAGGAGAATCAAGGCTGGGATGGGCATTGCTGCTCAGTACCAGATGCAAAATGCAACTGGTGAGCAGCGTTAGGGCAGTTTGTCTTACAGCAAAGGGAATTAAAGCTTTTGCTTTCTGTGGTATCAGAGGAGAATTCTCAGAACTACAAAAGCAAAACAAAGCTTTCAGTGTGTTGTGCAGAAAGGTTAACAAGAAAACGAGAGTTCTCTCCAAGATGAGGAAATCCCTCCCCTCAAACCTACTGCGCGCACAGAAACATACATGACAAAAATAGAGGGAAAGAGAAAAGCACTGGAACTGCAGCTCTTCCAGGGTCTGGGGAGATCACTGCTGGCTAACAAGCGCTTGGTTTGTACATCTGACATCCCCCTGCACACGTGGCACAGCTTCAGTTTTGATTCAGACAGAATAGATCTTTCTAGAAGCAGCAGATTGTCCATTAGGCCTGTCAAGCTATCACGGGGTTGGAACTGTCAGACTCACAGCAGAGTAGGAACTGAGAGCATTATTAAGCAATTATTTCTTTAGCTCTAATGATGAAAGACTTCAGGGCTGAAGTACACAAAGTACATAAACTAGGGCAAAGACAGCCTATAAATTGGAAGCTAGTTGGTTAAAACTAAATACAACCACATTGTTTTAACTTTCTTCTTCTAGACAGTAAATTACTTGTCATTATTGATTCTTCCTGAAATAAGAGTCTCAAGGTCTGCAAAAATATTTCTCAAGAATTATCTTAACACTTAAACACTGAACTAAACCAAAAATCCTTTACAACACAGGAGGTCAAATCTCATTAACCCAAAAGCCATATACACATTTAACTCATTAGCTTGTATGAATAAGAAATTTCCTCTTTTCCCATCTCACAGCTACAGCTGCTCTGCAATGACTCTAAAAGCCCAAAAAGGACATGGATAACTCACGCAGCTTTTATCCCATTAGCCACGGTCTGCAGTTCTCATAATCATTAGCTTTGAAGTGTATTAAACAAACCAGAACACGACCTTAGAGCTGATATTTTAATCACACCACATAAGAACAATTCTTTATCACAGATACTTCATTAAGGCCACCAAACGAGATGCTACTGAGAGCTACCAAGCCACAAGCAGGCAAGGAACTATCCTCACATAACTTTAGAGCTACAGACCTTCTCCAACATAACCTTTCTAGTGACTGCACTAAGGTATTTACACCATAAATAAACACATTTTTAATGGGATCGATGCATCCATACATCCCAGTCATTTTATACTGCTTTAAATGCCAAGTACAGAGGGAAAATAAGTATCAAAAACTTCACCGCTATTATTGAACCATGGGATTCATTCTTTTGTCTTGAAGTGGCTACAGCTTTATGTCCAGGACTATTTCACAAAGAAATTTCACATTTACAGAAAATGTGTCCTTCTGTCAATTCAATAATTCAAGACTCAGAAAGAATTTCCTTTCCTCCTGCAGGAATACATGGTATATTATTTCCCTCACCTCTAAGTTCTGCTAATGTTTAGTCATCCAGTTCACAAGACCGTGCTGGGAAGGCACAAATTAAACCCAAAATTTTTAAATGGATTTCCAAATTTAACTACTGCTTTTTCATACATACAAAGTATGTATATATGCATAAAGGCACATTTATCACTAATTACAGCTGACTATACAGACATCTTTCGCTACCATCTGTCCATTATAGTGTATCAGAGATATGCAAGTGTATATAAAATAGAGAAAACCAAACATTAACTTTGAAAACCATGCTTACACACCAATTTTTAACGTTATTTTGAACACATAGCTTAATTCTGATAATGACAGCCTGAAAACTGAGTACAGGACAGATGTACCCTATATTAATTGAGCTTGTGCTTTACACAGACAGAATAATGTATTGCCCACACAGAACACAAATTGCTGGAAATTATTTTAAAAGGTATTCAGGCATGCCAACAATGTGTCTTCACTGATTATGATCAGCCCAAAAAAAACCAAATTTGAAATTTTGAGAAGTAAAACATTAGTTGAAAAAGCCTTTAAAGAGCGGGGAGTAGTCAGATCTTGCTGTGAAGAATTCTACCAGCACTAACCCATTTTCATTGCTACGTGTTGTGATACACAAGGTTATAAACTGAACTAAGCTCCACATAAATACAACATTTACATCAACAGAATAAATTTCAAGAGAGTTATTACAACAATAGTGTTCCTAGAACTGTTCACCCCTGAATATGAAACGAGATGACTGACATGTTCATGAATAACTTTCATCTACATGTGAGCAAATCTCTGACAATGGCAGATGAAGAGACAAACTCAAAGCAAATTTAAAAATCCCAACTCAAATTGAAATAGAGGATGTGAAAAAACAGGATAGACAGTCTCATGAGGTCAAATTTTGGAACTCATGACTGCCTTTAACTGGAAACTTTACACTGCCACAAAGCCTTCACATTATATTACATCTCAGGCTGCCCTGTGTAATTCTGTAGACAACCCACACCTTAAAAATTTTTTAAAAAAAAATTTAAAAAAAAAAATCAATCATTCTTGCTCCCTCCCTTCCCTTGGATATTATTCCTCATCACACTCAACCAATCCAGAGTAATTCTAAAAAATACAATGGATGTAAAATAACAAAGTGTGAGTCTGGTCCAACCCCAAAAACTCCAACCAAGATCTGACAGAATCTGGAAAAGCAGCACAAAATTGATGGAAGAGGTAACGATCTTAAGTTTCAGCAGCTCTACAACTGCAGCTTTGTAGCTTTATTTAAAACATACTCATTTCACTGAAAGGATAAAATACCATTAAACGGACACTTGGCTCAATCTATGCTACAACATTTTGGTAAACACCTCTCTCCTACACAGAAGGGCGTAATTTTCCATTAGACTAAATCACCAGATCACATCAAAAATGAGGGGAAAATTGAAGAATCTGAGCTCAAAGGTGATTAAGAGCACAAAATTCATGCACATTATGCACGTTTTAAGCAGTCCTTTAATCCAGGATGCGTAGAGCATTTGATATGTGAGAGATCATCCATCAATCTGATTATAACAAAACAAGGTGGCATGGAAAGGAGAAAATTCACATGTGTAATAAAGTGTAACAATCCAGGTGCATTTTTTCCTGTTTTTTCCCCCACTCAGCGCCCTTGCCCTTGCTAAGGAGAAGATGTGGATGGGTAACACTCACGGACACCTGCACATCGTCCCTCTGCTCCCACAGGCACCCGACTCTTCACACCTTACCTCCAGCACTGCAAGAAGTTACAGCCAATGCCTGACAAGTTTAATGCTTTAGCTGTTCATTGCCATGTTCACGATGGGGAATTCGTGTGCCTCAACACTAGGTAAAAGCGATCAGCATTTTAAAAGAGTAAGCGTTAACAGCGACACATCTGAAACGCTAAATCGAACCTAGAACTGAGTCGATGCTTTAACATTAATATTAAATTTTAATCACTGAGCTCTTCCTGCAGTGTAATTCGAAACTTCAAACCTCAATGCTTACTAGGAGTAGAATCACCTCGGCAAATAATGCATAAGTTTAGTTCTATTAAGGGCCAGCACTCGGGGCGCACACACGGTCTGCGGCGCGCTGAGCGAGCGGCCAGGACGGGGCTCCCACAGGCGGGAGAAGCCCTTCACAGGCGGGCTCTGGAAGCCCAGCTGCGGGCTGGGAACAGCCGGAACAGCCGCAGGGAACCGCGGGACACCGCGGGCGGGTTCTGGGGCACGGCATCGCGACACTTTCTTCACCTGAGCACAACTCCGGCTGAAGCGCTCCCGCCGGGGCACGGGCTGAGGGCGCCTCAGCTCCGCGGCGCCGGAGAGAGAGCGCGTCCCTCCGCTGGCCGCCCGCAGGAGCCGAGCGAGCACCTGAGCGGCTTCTGGGCTTGTCTGCAGCCTCCCCCCGATTATCCCACATCGGAGAAGCAGCTCTAAACCCGAACGCCTCCTCTCCCGCCACAGCGGGCGCAGCCCGTCCCCACCTCCCTCAGGCGCTGAGGGAACGCCGGCGACCCCGGCACGGACAGCAGCTCCTCCGCACCGTCACTACTCCGGCACGGAGCTCCGCTCGGTGTAAGAAATAAGCCGGAGCCGGCCGGTTTATTTAGTCACACAGCCCCGCGAAGTGACGGGCGCACTCACCGGCACTCTCGCCGCCGCCGCCCCACCCGCTGCCCGGCGGTGCTGCCGCCGCTCCGCGCTCCGCCGCGGCTCTGCCGTGCAGGGCTGTGCTCGGCGCCTCTGAGCCCCGCTCCGCCCGGGCGCTGTCCCCGCCCCGGCCCGCCCCCGCTCCGCTCGGCATTGTGGGGCTTGTGGTCGCGGAGGGCGGACTACGAGCCCCAGGGCCCCGCGCGCGGTTCCGGACAACGCCTGGTGTGTGGTAACACCGCGGATCTTCCTCCTCCTCCTGCTCCTCCTGCTCCTCGCGGGCGCTTCCGGCGCGGCGGCGGAGGCGAAGCCCCTCGGGAGCGGCGGGGGCTCGGCGGGCTGGGGCAGGTGAGGTGCCGAGCCCTGCCCTGCCCGGCTCTGCGCGGGCTGGACGCGGGGCCCGCCGCGCCCTCCGGGGCTGCGAGAAGGGCGGTCGAGCCGCCCCCGGCGCCGCGGCCGGGCTGAGGAAGCGGCTGAGGGCGGCCTCGGCGTGCGGGGAAGGTGCGCGGGGTGTCCCTTCCCCTCCCGGCCCGGCGGTGACCTCTTTCCTCCGGCCCCGAGGCGCCGCCGAGGGCTTGTCCTTCTCCCCGCCCTTCCCGCGGCCGCGGGGCTTGGGGCCTGGCCCCGCTCCGGGGTTCCTGGCCTGGTGCTGGTTCCCTCGGCCCGGGCCCGGCAGGCGCAGGCCCGGATGTGTTTTATTTTTGTGTGTATTATTTTTAGCTCGTCCTCTCGGAGCGGAGCGCTGTCAGGTGGCTGCGGCGGGCAGGGAGAAAGGGCACCTCGGCTTCTTCCCCCTTCTTGCGCCGGGGGAGGTGTAGCTTGAACATTAGGGAGAAATTATTCACAGGAGGGGTGATTAGGCATCGGAATGGGCAGCCCTGGGAGATGGTGGAGTCACCGTTCCTAGAGGTGTTTAAGGAGAGGCAGGACGTGGCATTCTGTGCCATGGTCTGCTTGACAAGGCGGTGTTTGTTCAAAGGTTGGACTCGATCTTGGAGGTCTTTTCCAACCTGATTGATTCTGCGATTCCTTCTCCCCCGGGCTGTGGGGACTGAGCAGTCAGGGAAGGTGTTCTGGGCTGGGGTGTCCCTTTAAGTTGCTCACTGAACTGGTGAGTTGGGTTGGTGTTTTTCTGTAGCTCACACATACTGCGTGGCTGAAACCTTGCGCTGTTCCTGTTATCAGAGGAACTAATTCTTCTCTGGTATTTATTGACACGTTGGAAAGTATTTTTGTCCCTTTGGAGCTGTGTCATACCTGTGCGTGTTTGATAAAGTAAAGGCTTCACTTTCACATTCCCAAAGAGGAGCGGGGATATGTTGTTGTGGTTATTTATTCTGACATTCATTCTGACCTGTTTCAGTTATGCTGTATAACAGTTTTGGTGCTGCTGACTGGTGGAACTGGAGCACAGGCTGTAGGGTCTCATGTGAGACACAGACTGAGTGTATTAGGACAGATTAAATCACTTCCATTTTGAAGTCCAGCAAAAGAACACTGACTAATTATATGCCTGACTTCAGGCTAGGCTTGGTTTTTGTTTTTTAAGTTGATACGGTTCTAAAAATAGACATCTTGGATTTATCACAGGTCTGTGTCATTTCTGAATTAGTCATAGAAGTGCTCTTACAGTAATCAAATGCATAAGCAGTTCTGCTTTGCCAGAGTGAATTTCACTGGGGGTGACTGTTACACGTGTGTGGAGATGTTTGAAAACCATATTTCTGTTCTAGTGAGAGGCATTTGAAGACACTTTTAAAACTTCAGTGCTATTTGCTGGTGACATTCCTTTTATTAGCTCTTCAGTGAAACTGTTTAGTGTAAGAATCAGTAGAATATGGAATCAGTTCAGTAGGCTGCCTTTTAAGTCTCTTGTTATCATTGCTGATTTTAAAATACAGATTGGTATCCTAATGCTTAATCTGTATGCTTATCCCAGTGAACCCACCCAGACTCCATTTTAAAAAGAAGGAAAGTATTCTGTATCTGAAACACAAAGCTTTGAAGCTTTGTATCAAATAATCTAAGTTATACAGTGGGAAATAATTGTAATGGATAATTAAAATAGAATGGCAGGTAAAGTAACATCTGATAAAAAACAAAATAAATATGTGTGGATTAGGGGTTTTTGTTTAATTCAAGTGACCATTAATGACAGAAACAAAGTTACCAAGACAGGTGTGGGGTGTGTATATAGTTAAAAGAGTGTATTCTGCAATTCTTTTTACTTCCATAAATTTTATAACAGCAATAGTAAATTATCTACACTCCCTCTTCCCATGCACATTGGCCTTGGATTTGAATGAGTTTTTCTGGTAACTCAGGGATCTCAGATCAGCTTAAAGGTGAAACCTCTTCTTGAATCCTCACTGCAAAAAGTGGAGCAGAACCTCTTGGCAGTAAGGTAGTCTTCTCTAGCAGGAATGGAGCTGTGATTTTTGCTAGAAGCCAGCCATTAAAATAATAATATTTGTAATCATTGCCTTGGGCCTTGTTCCTCTGTAGTACTTTTCTAAAAAAGAATATTAATGTCTAAGCACTTACCAGATCTAGGGTGGATGGAGCCTGGAGAAGGGAATAGAGACAACATCAGTGCAGAGGAAGATCTGCTGATGACAGAGCTGAAACTCTGCCAATTGATACCAAGTGTTTCTGTTGGTTTAAAACTTGAAAAGTTGAAATCATGAGAGTCTGCTCTCTTTGCTTTAAGCACTGCTTCAGAAGGTTGTGTTACACAAACACCTTCCTTTGATGGAAACCTCACTCATCTTCAGCCTGGCCTAGGAGCAGGTGTGGATTTGGGAAGATCCTGCCTGCTGTAGTTACATGGTGATGGTTGTGTTCTTATTTAGCAGCTCTGCAGTTCTGCTTGATTTAAGTGTATGACCAAAAGTCTGACAGTAAATGAAACGCATTAGAGAGAGCAAATTGTCACCTTAGACACTGATAATGGTGGTTATACATTTGGGAAGTGTGGTGGTTTGTGCTCTTCACCCTTTTTGGCAGGGATTGGGTTTTTGGGGTTTTTTTCTGCTAAAGTTCAGTTGAATGATTTAAAATGTCATTGGGTGGCTATGGGGGAATAGCTCTGTCCAAGAACCTTTCTGGATCTATTCCTCATGTAAAATACACCAGCTCTCTCCTGTTTGCTGACTGGCTGGGATCATATTTTAGTGCCGAGATGTAAAGGTTAGCATGTAAGATTTATCCTGACAGTGAAAGCACGTATTCCACGTTAGTGCATCTCTTGGAATACATCCTGATGTGTTTGATGGGTGAGAACTGAGTAGTCAGGGTTATATTAACTGGTGTTTTAGCGCACTTGACAAATCTAGCTTCTCTTTAAATTCCCTGTATCATTCTGGACATTCTCTCCCAGGATTCTCATTGCAGATCCAAAGATTGGGATCTGCGGGCTCACTGTAACTAAAAGGAAGATCAGGCTCACGCTCGGTTTAGTATTTGGCAGTGTCCTGCTGCCTTCTCCTCATCTGCCCCCTCAGACCAATTAACAAGTTTGCCAGCAGAGTAACACCTTTTGTACATCTTACAGTTTTCCAGGATTTTCTCAACTCTACCACTCCACTGTGCTGTCCTAGTAAATCACCTTCTCATGGAGTCGTATTCCACCTTTTGTGAGAATGTAAAAAAAAAAACCAGATGACAGATGAAACTAGGGTAAACTCTTCTCAAAGAAAAGACTCTTTTGAGATTGGAGGAACTGAAGTTAAGCTGTTACAAGACACTGTCATGGAGTCTGGCAGCTGTGCAGAGCTGCTTTTGATCGCATCCTAAAAGAAATGCTGAAAGCTCCTCCTTGCTGCGTGATAATGTGCATTAAACTTCAGCTTGAGTCAGGCCATTTTGAAGGTTAGTGGACTTGCTGATAGTCCACTAATAAATAGAACAGAAACTTCGGTTTTCCTGAGGATTTGGTCCCTAATCAGGATTGAGACCTTCTTCAAGGATATTTGGACGTGGTTTAGTGCAGCTATTACAAATTGACTTTCAGTAGCACAGTGAGCACTGAGTTTTTGTGAAGATAATTATTCTTTCTATTTAACACTAGCAAAGATTGAAGTGAGTAAGTTTCATCCAAAAGGTGTGAAGTTGATTCCTAACTGTAAAGATAAATAGTTTGAGAATTGTAGCAGTCAGGTACTTCATGACACTGTGATGCACTAGTGTATCTTCTGGAAAACAGGAAGATTTCTGAATAATGAAATAATGAACAAGCAGTGTGATAAATTGAATATATTTCTTTTCATACCTTGGCAATGAAAGCATTTGATGCTCTTAAAATATTTCTTGTGTGCATGAATATATAAACCCACCTCTTCAATTGCAAAATTGGTATCCTTTGTGTTAATCCGAGCGTTGTATTTTATTTTTTATTTTTTTTAAGAGTGTCAGTGTCTGGAAAAGGGGTAATAGATAATGTATAATTGTTTTTATATGAGGGTTTTACTGTACCATGGATTAGTAACAATAGCTTATGGTTCTTCAGTAGAAAATGAGTTCTTCATGGTAGCTCACAGTGTAATAGGTTTTCATCATCATAAAAATCCATCATTTCACTTAGTATTTCCTTTTGTGTGTGTGTGGATACTGCCAACCCATAAAAACAAAGTAATTATATCTAATGGCAATTTTGTCCTTTTTTGCCCTTCTTCCTGTGATAAAAATCTTTTGGGGAGTAGAACAATGTTCAGTGACCTGATTTAACTATTTTAAAAAACTTACTCTGAGAATACAGATGAAAACTTGCTATAAATTAATCTGTGAATGCAGGTGGTGCTTGTCAGGTGTGTGAGTGGATATTTACTGAACTTCCAGAAAGGAGGAATTCAACAGCAAAACAAACAGATCTCCATCCAGCATGGAATGCACATGGATAATAAATGGGACAGCTTGTACCTGCAGTAGGGAGTGAAAACTTGTTCAGACAAGTTCCCTCCCCCCATGTGAGCAGACCTTGCATGAATTTATGTAACTGAAACAAGTTCTTGGGA